AAAAAAAAAAAAAAAAGAATTAACATATAATCCCCAAGTTCTTGTCAAGATTTACTATATTCTTCCCAAGAAGAGTTAAGCAGATGCAAAATACTGTAAATTTTTCCAGACCAAGGCAGTGAACTTGCACCTTCGAACATCTTTCCCTTGGAGGTAAATATGAGATATGAAACTAGAGGGAAGGAGAGATGATTGAGAGAAGAGAAGAGAAGAAGAAGATCTGTGTAAATCTAGGAAATGGAGAGTCAGCCTTTCAGTTAGTTGGGGGTGACTGAGATCATCTATCACAAGCTTACTTAGATTCCTCTGCCAGAAATCTGGAACATAGTCATGTTTGGTGAGTTACTTGCCACATTCATTAGCTTATGACCAAAAGTTCTATTTGTTTGGTGACAGGGAATAGGTGAGACCAGTGTTTTATTTGAACAAATAAATTTTTCCATGACGACTTTCAAAATTAAAGATATAGAGATGCGCGTCTGGGTGGCTCAGTCAGTTAAACGTCAGGCTCTTGAGTTTGACTAGGTCATGATTTCATAGTTTGTGGGTTCGAGCCTTGCCTTGGGCTCTGAGCTGACAGCATGGAGCCTGCTTGAGATTCTCTTTCTCTCTCCCTCTGTCTCTGCCCAACCCTTGCTTTTGCATGAGTGTATGCGTTTATGCCCTCTCTCTCTTTCTCATAAAATAAATAAATATACTTTAAAGATATAGAGACAATATAAAAATTATTAATCTACATAGTGATTTCTTACATATATCTTAAATGATTGACATCAGAAAGTATGCACCAATAACATTTTAAATAAACTGACAACATCATCTTGTGCCTATTTTTCTCCATAATATACAGGAATTAAGAAATGAAAAGATCTTATTTCCCATTTCTTGGCATGTTTGGACAGAGGAATGAGACAACCTTTCTGACAATGATCTTATTTTTTACTATTTTCTTTCTCAAATACTTCCCCTACTTCCAGATTTGAATACAGAAAGAGAACAAATAACTCTGTTAGAAGCATTTTTTGGGATAATAGATGAAAAGTACTTTAGTGTTTAAAAGTTAATCCCCAAATAAGAGAATGTCTTATAAACCTAGTTTTTTTAAAAAAAAATGGTTTTTTTGGTTTATTTATTTTTGAGACAGAGACAGAGCATGAGTGGGGTAGGGGCAGAGAAAGAGAGAGACACAGAATCTGAAACAGGCTCCAGGCTCTGAGCTGGAGAGCACAGAACCCAATGTGGGCTCGAACCCATGGACAGTGAGATCATGATCTGAGCCAAAGTTGGACACTTAGTCAACTGAGCCACCCAGGTGCCCCATCATAAACCTAGTTTTTAATGTTCCCTAAAATTCAAAAGGTTGCTCTGAAGATCAAAGTGAGAAAACAGATGTAAAAATGATGTGTGAACTGTACAGCATTATACTGTACTAATATTAATAACTAATTTTGCTTTTATTTTTTTATGATTTTTTTAAGTTTATTTATTCTTAGTAATCTCTATACCCAATGTGGAGCTTGAACTCACAACCCCGAGATCAAGAGTCTACATACTTTATGGACTGAGCTAGCCCGGCACCTCACTAATATTGCTTTTATTTTTACTTTATTTATTTTTTAAAAATTGTTTTTGATGTTTATTTACTTTTGAGAGACAGAGAGACAAAGAGAGGGACAGAGTGTGAGCAGGGGAGGGGCAGAGAGAGAGGGAGACAAAGAATCCAAACCAGGCTCCAGGCTCCAAGCTGTCATCACAGAGCCTGAAGTGGGGCTTGAACTCAAGAACTGTGAGATCATGACCTGAGCCAAAGTTGGATGCTTAACCGACTGAGCCACCCAGGCGTCCCATTAATATTGCTTTTAAAATACAATATGGGGGGGGGGCGCCTGGGTGGCTTAGTCGGTTGAGCGTCCGACTTTCGCTTAGGTCATGATCTCGCGGCTCGTGGGTTTGAGCCCCGCATCGGGCTCTGTGCTGACTGCCATTTCAGAGCCTGGAGCCTGTTTCAGAGTCTGTGACTCCCTCTCTCTCTGACCCTCCCCTGCTCACGGTGTCTCTCTCTCTCCTAGAAATAAATAAAACATTTAAAAAAATTAGAAAAAGAAAAGAAAAGAAAATACAATATGGGGTGCCTGGGTGACTTGGTTGAGTGCTGGACTTTGGCTCAGATCATGATCTTGTAGTTCGTAAGTTCAAGCTCTGCGTCAGGCTCTGTGCTGTCAGCACGGAACCCATTTTGGATCTTCTGTTCCCCCCACTCCATCCCCACCCCTCCCCAACTTGTGCTCCTTCTCTCTCTCTCTCAGAAATAAACACTAAAAAATATAAAGTAAGAGACATTAGGGGCACCTGGCTGGCTCAGTCGGTAGAGAATGAAGTCATGAGTTCAAGCCCCCATGGTAGGTGTAGAGATTACTTAAATAAATAAATAAACTTTAAAAAAGTAAGAGATATTCAGGGTTTTTAAATTTTACAATAACATACACAGAAAAAATGCATAATAATGGCACTACTTTGTTCCCTTTGTATTCTGCTTCTAACCTAAAACAGAGAAGAAGCTAGGAAGTTTCAGAGAATATGGCTATGTTATCACAGACCTTGAGCACAATTATTAAACATGAGGGTAGACATGAACTTTTTGGGAAAGACATTATTAATGCGGTGGAAAAGAAAGATAAAAGGCAAGAAGAGTTTCCATAGTCAAATTCTGCCTATATCTTCATTAGCCTGTGATTTTCCAGGACTCCTTCCCCTACTTGTGGAGAAAGCCACACTGAAGAAAATTTTAGTCAAAAGTCCTAGAAAATGGAAAGACCTTGCTCATTTCCTATGTTAAATAAGGTAAATTAATAAAAGTCTCTCAACTTAAAAGATAATGGGTTAAGAAGAATTGAGTAAGTTCTTCCTTACTTTCTCTCATTTCTCAAAATTTTCCAGGATTTACAGAGATCTCTGACAGATTCTTTTGTCTATGTCTACTGGTCATGTCAATGCCTCAGGGAGCTGTTCAGGAATTCCCAGTTGGGGACAGAATTACAATTCATGTTGCCCCTGTCCTTTGCCTTCTTTATGGGGTGTCTTCTTTCTACACCTTTGCTGTGGGCATCCTTGAAGGCTCTGTCCTTTTCTATCTGTCTTGTCATCACACTTAGAAAACCTGCCTACTCTCATGGCTTCAGTATTTTTTTAAAGTAATATTCATGCCCAACGTGGGGCTCAAACTCATGATCCTGAGATCAAGAGACACACGCTTTACCGACTGAGCCAGCCAGGTGCCCCATGGCATTAGTTTTTATTCTCTAGTAGATGAATCTTAATTCCACATCTGTTGCCCTAAGCTCTTAACTTACAATAAAGAAAAGAATTTTATTGTGGTAAAATATACATAACATAAAATTTGCCATTTTAACCATTTTTAAGTGTTGCAGCTCAGTGGCATTAATTATATTCACAATGTTGTGCAACCATCACCACCATTTCTATAACCCTTTCATCGCCTGGTCATGGTCATGAGCCTTCCACAAGTTTTGAAAGTGTGACTAGAGATATTTAAGCATCAATTTCAAATAGCCTGCTTAGCACCAAGTACTTTTTTTTGAATAAGGTCATTTTTACACTTACTCATCTATACTTACTGAGAAGGTAATAGAGATAATATAGAAGAGAATATTTTTTTATTTTTATGAGGATGTTGAGATTCTATTATCTAAACAATTATGGCTTTTATGAATCTTTATGAAGCTTTTTTAATGTGCTATTATCTTCAAGTGGTAACCATTTTATTTCATTCATTTTTATTAAAGTATCAATAAAAATGGTTGAATTTAAAAGTTAGTTGCACTGATTTCATTGGGTAGCCACACGGCTAGATCTGCTAACACTGTGACTTGGAGTAAATAATGGCAGACCTTGCTTCTGGAAACAATGTGGGAACAATGGTATCTACCTCCTGCTTAAGAAGGAAAGATTTGAAAAATCAAGCTGACACTTGTGAATTTTCTTGTATTCTTTTGAAGGACCTTGGAAATAGCATCAATAGATTGTTTATGTATGTGTTAAATTAGGCAATCAACTCATTGTCACAGACTAGAGGAGACTAGAGGGACATGACAACTAAATGCAATGTGGTATCCTGACTGGGTCCTAGACAGGAAGAGGACACGAATGGCAAAATTGGTGAACTGTGAATAAAGCCTGAAGTTCAGTCAACAGTAACATACTAGTGTTGGTTTGTTTTACACACATTCTCGGGGAATGTGAGATGTGAGGCATTAATAATGACAGAAACTGGGTGAAGGATGGGAAAACCCTGCATTATCTTTGCAACCTTGCTGTATCTCTAAAATTATTCCAAAATAAAAAAATTATTTTAAAAAACAGGCAGCCATTTTTATACATTTAAAAATAATGACATAGAAGGGTGCCTGGGTGGCTCATTTGGTTAAGCATCTGGCTCTTGGTTTTGGCTCAGGTCATGATCTCGTGGTTTGTGGGATCGAGCCCTGTGTTGTTCTGACAGTGCAGAGCCTGCTTAGGATTCTCTCTCTCCCCTTCTCTCTGCCCCTCTCCTGCTTACACTCTCTCCTTCTCAAAATTAATAAATACTTAGAAATTTTTAAATAAAATAACAATATAGAATGTATAATAGTGAATTAAATATTTTTACTTGGTACTTACCCTGGATATTGTTGCCTGTTACACTTGGTGATACAAAGATAGTAACCAAGTAATCCAAAAATAACCAAAAATACTCCAGCAGCAATTAATCCAGTCAGAAGGCCCATGACATCAATTTTTTCTCTGTTGCCATCTTAAAAGAAATCATTAAAATAATATAAATGTAACAACTGTAAAGCACCACCTATGATTTCAATAAGTTTAAGACTGGATCTAAACATAGTATTAAGCATCTAACAATACTGATTTTTCTAAAAAGTCTTTGTGTTAGCAACATGACCTGAAAAATTAGTAAATGACACTTCCTAAAAACCCTAGTTACGGTTTCATTTATTTTTTTAAGTTTATTTACTTTCAGAGAGAGAGAGAATCCCAAGCAGGCTCTACGCTCAGCATGGAGCCTAACATGGGGCTCAATCCCTTGACCCTGGGATTATGACTTGAGCCAAAATTAGGAATTGGATGCTTGAGGCACCTGAGTGGCTCGGTTGGTTAAGCGTCTGGCTTTGGCTCAGGTCATGACCTCGTGGTTTTTGAGTTTGAGCCCCACCTCGGGCTCTGTGCTGATAGCTCAGAGCCTGGGACCTGCTTTGTTTCTCTGTCTCCCACTCTCTCTGCCCCTCCCCCACTCACCTCTGTGTGTGTGTGTGTCTCTCTCTCTCTCAAAAATAAATAAACTTTAAAAAAAATTAAAAAAAAAGAATTGGATGCTCAACTGACTGAGTCACCCAGGTTCCCCTCATTTACTTTAAACAGATCATATTAAATGAATAGTATTCAAGACTAATCATATTCTGGTGTGCTTGGCTGGCTCAGTTGGAAGATCACGTGGCTCTTGAACTCAGGGTAGTGAATTCACACCCCATGTTGGGTACAGAGATTACTAAATAAGAAAATAAACTTAAAAAAAAAAAGACTAAACATAATACCCTTGGTATAATTAAGGACATTTTGGTATTAAATACACAGATAAATGTACTAAGCAACACTAGCATAGCAATGTAATAAAGTCTCCTCAGACCTGGGGCTCTACCTGAGGGAATGAAAGAGCCGGTAAAAAAGACTTCATTAAAAAGCAGGTAGAGGGGCCCCTGGGTGGCTCAGTCGGTTAAGCGGCTGTCTTCGGCTCAGGTCATGATCTCACACGGGTCGTGGGTTCGAGCCCCGCGTCGGGCTCTGTGCTGACAGCTAGCTCAGAGCCTGGAGCCTGTTTCAGATTCTGTATCTCCCTCTCTCTCTGACCCTCCCCTGCTCATTGCTGTCTCTTTCTCTTTCTCAGAAATAAATAAAAAACAAAACAAACAAAAAAAGCAGGCAGAGCTGATAAATGCAGATAAAATAAAGTATCTCCCTTCTACAGAAGTCACTTAATTCTAATGCTCTTAAGTTACCTAGTAGCAGAAGTATCCCACTTACTTGTAATGGTAAAAAAGAAAAAAAAAATTAAAATAGCTTACTACTTGGAACTAATGGAGTCCTACTTTTATTCTGTGCAAGTCTTGACTTAGCTGAGTTGTTTAAAACACCTATAAGCCTATTATCTCATTTCCCTAGTATCTCACCAAACTTGATTTTCAGTGTGTAAAGATGAATGTGGCTTCCTCTGTCTTAGATAGCCCAGTGTATAATTGAGAAATCTTCCCTGGGTTTACAAGGTATGTATGTTGAGCAACAACCAAACTCAAACAATGAAACTAAAACGTATTATAACAGAGAGAGGGTGGGGAAAACATTAAATTTGATCAATTCTTGCCTTACCTGATTTTGTGGTTGGTCCTTTGATGGAATATTCTTGCCAAAATGCCATCTAAGAGAAAGATAAATTTGCCAAGTTTATTTCATTGTTTTATTATCATTTCATTTGGTCCCAATAACCCATCCAGGGGTGGTAAATTCTTGGCATATGCCATGGGTAGGATACCAGTTTATTTAAGCCGGAGGGTGTGGCTCATTCTAATTAAAGCACTACCACCTACCACTGTTTCTCCCAACTCTGAAATTGGTCAGGGGGTTACTGGCAGTGCCAGCTCCCTACTGCTGGCTTCTGCCTTTCTCCCTTTGCCTGCTCAGAGTCCCCGCTCAGGTATTAGGTGAAAGTATCACATTAGTGAGTCGGTGACAGCACCAAAGGTGGAGAGCTGAAGCCGTGGACCCATTAACAAGTTTGAAAAGCAGTCTGTATTTTTCTGTGCTAGGTGAGCCCTAAGTTTGCTAGATTCTATTGAAAGGTGTTGATTTGGAAAGACATTCCTGAGCTTCTTTTAAGTTCAGTGTTACTTGAGAGAATGAGGCAGATTTTAAGGAACCATGATAAAATCATTCAATGGGTTTGTGAAAAACAGAATAAATTTGCAACAGGCACAACTACAAAGTACAGACTTTGTTTTCCTTCTCCAAAAGATGTGGCAGATATCAGCAGGAAATGAGAGGCTGGGCACAATTTTGGAAGAAAAAGGAATTAAGTTCCATTAATACCTACATTTGAAGGATACCTAGAGCTCATTGTTCTTATTAACCAAAGGGTAAAACAGGACTCTTGAGGAAGGGGAAAAGGAGCTGTGGTTATTTAATTTACGAAAGTAAAGAATTTGGGTCACTTAACATTCTTTAAGAATGTGCCAGATTATAACGGGGTAGTGCTGTCCATTTGTTTCGTACTGTTCCAAGATTAATAGATAGGATTTAATTCTATTTTAAAGGAGACCTTCTAGGGGGCATGTGGGTGGCTCAGTCAGTTGAGTGTCCAACTCTTCATTTTGGCTCAGCTGATGATCTCACGATTCATGAGATCAAACCCCGAGACATAATCTGCGATGACAGTGTAGAGCCTGCTTAGGATTCTCCCTCTCTGCCCCTCCCCCCACCTCTCTTTCAAAATAAATTTTATTTATTTTTTAAATTATTATTATTTTTTAATGTTTTTATTTATTTCTGAGAGAGAGAGAGAGAGACAGCGTGGGCAGGGGAGGGTCAGAGAGAGAGGGAGAGACACAGAATCTGAAGCAGGCTCTAGGTACTGAGCTAGCTAGCCATCAGCACAGAGCCCAACGCAGGGCCCGAACCCATGAAACATGTGATCATGACCTGAGCCGAAGTCGGAGGCTTAACTAGCTGAGCCACCTAGGCACCCCCAAAATAAATTTTAAAAAGGGAGACCTTCTGAAAGTTTTTTCCCTTAAATTACACAGATATACTAAATAATAAACTCCTGAGGGCAGAGACTATGCATTTTGTATCCCCAGTCTTTGGCAGAGCAGTTGACACACAGTAGATTATTAATAAATACAGTAATCAGAAAAGATAAGGTCACTGATAGGAAAATTTCTGAGTCTAGGATGATTGAAGCCTGAGTGAGAGAACTAACTCAAATAATATCCTAAAATTTAATTCACTCTGCTTTATGATTGTTTTTGAATATAATAAACATTAAACACACAAAATCACAGTATAATGGGTAACTTGCTAATTACTATAAGCCCATTTAATTAAATATAAAGTCAAGCTGACATAGGTTAATTAGCATATTAAAGAAGTAAAAAGGGATAACAGGTATACAATCTTGATTTCATTTAAAGCATAAAATCTCTGATGACTGAGACACTTTAAGTATCATTTAATAAATTTCCAGTCAATTAACATTATCAACCAAATTACCGTTTTGTCTTCATCCACAAAAATTTCTCTGGCTTCCTCATAATTACAAAGTTCTTCTTTGCACTCTCTTTCTAGGTCACCGGGCGTGAAGAGCTCCAAATCAAATCTATTGTATAGAAGGTGTCTATGTATGAAATGATTTGCTTCTTCTTTTGATGTGAAGACTAATAAAGAAATAGAAAGATTTCAAAGATCGATAAAAATAGGGCAGAAAATTTCTGTTTTAATTGTGGAAGAGTGAATAATTCTCTTGAGGTAAAATATCAGACTTTCTTGTATGGTTTTAAATTCTGACAAAAAGAAATCTCATCAGTAAAAATAATTTCTGTTAAATATGAAATACATACATTAGCATAAGTCCAGAAAATACTTCAGTTGATTATGTACAAAATTATTAGCATAAATGAAAATTATTTAAATATCACTCTTCCTTCCAGACAATTATATTTCCAAGAAATGACAGGTCAGACTCTTCTACTTCTAAAGGGTAGGTTCTCTATTATCTTGACTGAGAAAAATTAGTTTGGCGTAATGGACAGAGTATTGGACTAAGAGTTAGAAGATAGAGATTCTTGGTTTTTATTTGGCTTAGCTATTGGCTGTGTATCCTGGAATAAGTCACTTACATCTCTGGTTTGCCATTTTTCTCATTTGTAAAATTGGAAAATGAACTGAATAATTACTAAGATCTTTTTATGTTTTAAAATTATAAATTTATACATTTATATTAATATTTTTTTCATTAAAAAAGTTAATGTTTATTTATTTTTGAGAGAGGCAGACCACAAGCAGGGGAGGGGTAGAGAGAGAGAGGGATATATGGAATCTGAAGCAGGCTTCATTAGCACAGAGCCGGACGCAGGGCTCAAACTCACAAACTGTGAGATCATGACCTGAGCCAAAGTTGGACGCTTAACTGACTGAGCCTTCAGGTCCCCCAATATATGACAAATTTTAGAGCAAGTTTATACCAAAAACTTATAAAATTTTAAACTTCTAAGTTAATAAAATTATAAGTTAATTACAAGATTAATTAAAAGACATTCAGTCCCAGGGTGCCTCAGTGGCTCAGTCGGTTAAGTGACAGACTTAGGCTCAGGTCAAGATCTCACAGCTTGTGAGTTCGAGCTCCATGTCAGGCTGGTTGCTGTCAGCTTGAGCCTGGAGCCTGCTTCAGATTCTGTGTCTCCCTCTCTCTCTGCCCCTCCCTCGCTCTCACTCTGTCTTTCTGTCTCTGTCTCTCTCAAAAATAAACATTAAAAAAAAAAAAGACATTCAGTCCCTCCTAAAGAATTAGCTCCCTCTAACGTATCCCCCAAATATGTATCTTCAATGCTTTATAAGACTTCCTCTACCTTGTCTGGAAAAGTAAATGGTAAACACGATAGACACAAAACCAAAATGTCCCACCATGGCAGTATTTTCAAAACCCACAAACTTTAAACTCATTCTGGTATCACACAAAGAATGTTTAAGAAATCTTGCCCCTGGGGCACCTGGGTGGCTCAGTAGGGTAAGTGACTGACCCTTGTTATCTGCTCAGGTCATAATCTCATGACTCCTGAGATGGAGCCCCATATCGGGTTCTGCACTGACAATGAAGAGCCTGTTTGGGACTCTGCCCCTTCCCTTCTGTGCTCATGTATACTCTAAATAATAAAGATTAAAAAAAAAAAAAAGAAATCTTGCTTCAGATCGCATTACCAAGATTGGAATTCAGAAACTCTCTGAAAACTACATCAAATACTTAAAGAATTTGGTATTTCTCACTGCTAACCATTACTATAAAGGAAGGATATTAAAGTGAGAAACTGAAATACAGCTCAGTACTAATGAGAGAACATGGCGTGAAAGACGAATATTGATTCGTGAACAATCTCAGGTTGGCCATTTATTTTCAGTCCCTTGAGAACTGTCACATCTTGTCCAAGATATTTTTTTCCACTAATCAATCACCTTTCTAAACAGGTCTGAATCTTACAGAGCTATTTTGTTCAATATAATAGCCATTAGGCACATAAGGCTGTTGAGAATCGAACTATGGCCAGTCTGAATTGAGATGTGCTACCTATAAATGTAAAATATACACTAGATTTGAAAGACTTAATAAAAAAAGTAAAATATATCAATGTTTATATTGCTTATTTTTGGAAATGATATTTAGAATATAATGGGTTAACTTAAATATATAAAAACATAATTTTATCAATTATTTTTACATTTTTAATATGGCTATTAGAAAATTTTAAATTATTGGGGCACTTGGGTGGCTCAGTTGGTTAAGTGTCTGACTTCAGCTCAGGTCATTATCTTGCAGTCCCCTGCATCAGGCTCTGTGCTGACAGCTCAGAGCCTGGAACCTGTTTCAGATTCTGTGTCTCTCTCTCTGCCCCTTCCCACCTTGTGCTCTGTCTCTCTCTCAAAAATGAATAAATGTTAAAAAAATTAAAAGAAAAAAAGAAAATTTTAAGTTATGTGATTTACATTATATTTCTATTGGCCTGCACTATTCCACCACATACATTTCTATGTTATAAATAACATGTATGGGTTATTTGGACCAAGGAGGGTAAGCTAGAAAGGAATCACTGTTGATAGCTGTTTTAAGAAATATTCTAGGGGAAGCTCAGTCAGATGAACATTGGACTCTTGATTTTGACTCAGGTCATGATCCCAGGGTCATGGGATTGAGCTCCAAGTTGGGCTCTGTGCTAAGCGTGGAGCCTGCTTGGGATTCTCTCTCTCTCCTTCTGCCCCTCTCCCCTGCTCACGTTCTCTGTCTCTCTCACAAAAAAGAATTAAGAAAACAAGAAATATTCTAAAAGCTAACCAGTGTGATGAAATCTCTTTATTCTTTATTCTCCCTTATCTTTTTATAGATTTTATGCTACCACCAAATAGAGACAAAATGAAAAAAATCCAAGTCATCATCATCTCTCATTGGGATTCTTACATTGGCCCTCTAAGAGGTTGCCTTGCTCCCCTACAGTCTGATTTTAACACTGTGTTGTAGCTTCACTGCTTTCCAATGTGCCCTTGTACTTGCTATTTCTCCTAAATAGAACTTTCTTCTTTTGGTTTGTTCTTCCAACTCCTTTAGGATTTCGTTCAATGTTAGCTTGAACTCCCATCCCCACCCACCCACCTCTGGCACTCCCCTGTCTCCTACTACACTTTGTTTTTCTCCATAGCACTTCTCACCATCAGGTGTTTTATATGTGTTACCCACTTACTTGTTACCAGTCTGTTTCCCTCACTAGAAGAAAAAGTTTCATTAAAGTAGACATGCAGTGCCTGACACCTACAAAGTGCTCAAAGAAATTTACTAAATAAATGAATGAACTTAACTTTTCTATGTTGGTAAGAAACTCTTGGGCCTAAATTCTACTAGTTAAAAGAATTCATAGGTATAGTCTGGTATTACTCAGCTTATTGTAGGTTTAAAATACTAAACCAGTGATGAGGTAACTCATGGCCTGCCTAACCTAGCTATACGTACTACTACAGGAAATCTAATTTTAGCATGGAGAATTAGAAATCTGCTTCTGTATTGCTGCTTCTCAGATATGGCCAGATCTTTACATTTTATTGGCTAAGAAAGCAGTGCCAAATTTCTCATTTGTCAGTCTTCCCTTCAAGCAGGTTATCTGAATTATAAAAATACTCTGTGCCCTCCAAAGGGCTCAGTCTGTGGAGTGTCTGACTTTGGCTCAGGTCATGATCCCATGACTTGTGGTTTTAGGGCTCACATCTGGGTCTGTGCTGACAGCTACGAGCCTGGAACCTCCTTCAAATCCTGTCTCTGTCTCTCTCTGCCCCTCCCCCACTCATACACACACACACACACACACACACACACACACACTCTCTCTCTCTCTCTCTCTCTCTCTCTCTCTCTTTTTCTCAAATATAAATAAAGTTTAAAAAATACTCTGTGTCCTCGAGATGGGACTCAATAGAACTACTTTCAACTTGAAAGTAAGAAAGAGAGAGTCATAAACCTTTTTATTGTTCCTGGGATGACACTTATGCCAATAAAGTCTTCACCCCCAAATTAAACATGCCCTCCAGCGGCTGCTGTTTGCGACTTCCCTGAGTGTGAAAGTTCTGATCTATCAGTGGTTGACCTCAGACCTTCAGTGCTTTATTAAACTTGTCCCTGCCACCCTTTTGATCTAGGAGAAATACTGTCCTTTGTTATTTGGGTTCTAAGTAACTGTGAATTGGTTTGTTATCCAAAGAAGCAAATCTCCTTGTCCTGGAGCATCCTGTACTTCCCGTGAGAGTTCCTATTTTCCCTCTGCCCATTGCCGGAGGATACACGGTCCTTAGTACTTCTGTATTTGCCTCCTCAAGTTCTCTTCCCATCTCTATTTCTCCAGGTTAAGGCCAAGAGACTGTCTCTGCTTTCTGCTATTTCAAACCCACCAACCCAGATATTTCATTTGCTCTCTCTCTCCTATTCACCATGTTTTCTAAATAAACTCCTTTTAAGTCATTTCAACTCCACACTTGGGCTTTATTAGAGTTTAGCTGAAGGTCCCTTATTTTCCTGGTTACTTTTCAGATCTCCACTTATTATCGGCTTCTGTGCCATACATCTCTCCAGAGACAAAGTTAACTGCTACTCTTTCCTCTCTCTCGAGCTCTCTGTTCCTACCTCTTTCATAGAGCTTATGGAGATTACGTCTTTAGACCCTGTCCCCTTCACCAGATGAAGCGGTCTTCCAGGGCAGGGATTAGTCTTTCATGGCTATATCTCCAGTACCTAACATAGGGTCTGGCATATAGTTTGTGATAATAAAGTGATTACTAACAGAACAAATCAGCTCTTCAAATATATAGGATTCCTTGGGGCACCTGGGTGGCCCAGTCAGATAAGCACCTGACTCTTGACCTCAGCTCAGGTCATGGTCTTGAGGTTCATGGGACTGAGCCCCATAATGGACTCCACACTGACATCTCAGAGCCTGCTTGGGATTCTCTCTCTCCTCTCTCCACCCTTCCCCAACATTCTCTTTCTCTCTCAAAATAAATAAACTTAAAAAGTATATAGGATTCCTCATTTACATTTCCCACAGGTATTTCTAGTCTTCTGCACACAAGTATGATCTCTAAATTCCTTCCATAGTCTGTGATGTCCATGAGAATGTCTTTATGCTTCCAATATGTGAATGAATGAATAAGAGTCAGCACCTGGTGCCACTGAGTATAGACTTTCAAACCTCAGTATCAGTGGACTAACATATGTGGTGTAACTTGGGAGGTACCAAGAAGGATCTCCTTCTAAAATCTGTCCCTATACTCACTAGCTAGCTTATCCAATTACCTAGAATTCTGCCATCAGGGTTTGATTCCTTTGGATTAAGATACCTATTTCTTTGGGTTAAGATGTCCTATCTTAAAATATATACACCCCCCCCCCCAACACACACACCCTCCTGGAAGGTTTAGTACATCCAGCTTTATTAATCATTAATAAGTTATCCAGGAGTATTAGTGTAACAGATCCTTCCCAAATGAAAATGAGCTGAGACTAGATCTCATGAGAAGGAACAAGGGACAGGAATGTGTGGGGAAGTCAATCCAAAGTATTGGCACTGGGTAGGGAAGCACAATGGCTAGGCAGAGAGAAGGATGCTGAATCCAAAGCCATTTTTTTTCTTTTCTGGTTTTTCTTTTTTCTTTTTTAAAGTTTATTTCCTTATTTTGAGAGAGACAGAGACAGTGCAAGTGGGAGCAAGGTAGAGAGAGGGGAAGGGAGAGAGAATCCCAAGCAGGCTCCTCACTGTGAGCACAAAGCTCAATGTGGAGCTCAAACTCACGGAAATAACGAGATCATGACCTGAGCAGAAACCAAGAGCCTGAGGCTTAACCAACTGAGCCACCCAGGTCCGTCTTTTCTGTTTTTTCTAAGGTAGACTTTTTAAAAATACTCCTTTTATTTTATTTTTAATTTTTTAAACATTTATTTATTTTTTAAAGACAGACAGAGAATGAGCAGGGGAGGGCAGAGAGAGGGAAGCACAGAATCTGAAGCAGGCTCCAAGGTTGGAACTGTCAGCCCATAGCCTGACTTGGGGCTTGAACCCACGAACTGTGAGATCATGACCTGAGCCAAAGTTGGCGGCTTAACTGACTGAGCCACCCAGGCGCCCCTAAGGTAGACTTTTAAAATGCGAGCAGGAACCGGTCCATTTATGACCTGGAATCCGCAAGGTATGAAATTCTAGGTTAGCAAGCCCCAAGCCTAATCTTCCCACAACCATTTCACTTTACCCAGGCAATCTGACAATTTGATGTCAAAAAGCACTGCAGGGATCATTCTACTCCCCACTCCCATCATCACTTTACTGAGGAAGAAATTCAAGTGGAGAGGGGTTAAGTAACTTAACCAGGGTCTCATCACAAGTCCAGACGAGATCCTGGACTCCCTGTCCATCTTTCCTGGAAGAACAAGAAATTATGCTCATTATAATTACCACATAGCCTCATCTAGAAAAACGGCACTCACTGATTTTCAGAAGGTGAAACAGGCTTTCTATTCAGTGAACCACAAGCAAGGTCTTAAGTATATATTTATCAAAAGTAACCCACAGAAATAAATGTGTATGAATTGTACCGAACATAACCACAACACTGCCAAATAAACCACAAATTAAACTAAAGGATATTTTAGTGCTTTTTATGATTGATGGGGGCATGTAATTTCAAAGCCTACACTTTCTCTCTGGAGCTCTGTAATACGTGGCTCAGGTTTCCAAGGGGGGGTTTGGGAACAGAGGCCGTGCTTACCTTCTCGAGCATGCCCGGACTCCTTCGGCCTTCTTGTGCAATGAGGAAACGCGAAGTTAACTATGGGCAGTTGGCTGAGGAGAACCAGAAGTGTAAACATAGTCTGGTAACTGTCACACAAACTGAAAGAAAATAACAACAACGGCAAAAAGTCAAAAAAGCCCCTGGCTCAGCGCTTTGAGATCTCGTGGGAACTGAGTCACCGACCTGCGGCGCTCCCAACAGCCGCCCGACTGCTTCCCCCTCTCGGGTTTCGGTGGCCCCGGCCCGACCCGCGCCCGGAAAGCGTTCCGAGAGCGCCCCCGGGGCTCTGCCGACTGCCTGAGCGGACACCTGTCGCCACGGACAGCGCTCTGCCTTCGGTTCCAATCGGACCCGGTCCGCCGAGGTAACCAACGGACCAACCAACCAATGGGTTGGTTACTCGGTTACTCCGTCCGAGTTAACCAACCCGTCCCCGGCCGGAGCCAAGCCGTCGGGCCCCGCACCTGCGGCTCCGGGCGCATGTTCCAGCAGTTCCCCGGCCGGAGCCCCGTCGTCGGGTGGTCCCTGCGGCCGCCAGACCCTCCGTCCCGGCGCCTCCCCCACCTCCAAATCTCCGCCACAATCCCGGCCTCACTCTCCGCAAGGCCGGGGTGGCCTCCGCGTTCGCGCCGTGGAAGCGCCTGGGGCCTGCGGAGGGGCGCCTGTGCCGGCCGGGGACGCGCGGCGTTGAGTTCCTGCCTGGATCCCGGGAGGCGGCGGAGCAGAGAAGTGGGAGAGGGACGGCGACGGCGGCTACCTGGGGAGCACCCGGCCGCGCTCCTCCCCCCGGGGGCCGGTCTATCTGCGGCGGGCTGGCCGTCGGCTCGTGCTTCCGGAGCCGCCCCAGCTTCAGCCCGGAGCCTCGGGGGAGCCCCGCCGCCCGCAGCCAGTTCTGGCCCTGCCCCGGCGCGCGGGTGGCAGGTTTTGGACTCGTTTCTAGACCCGGCGTTTTCAGGGGGCATTTTCAGGGCTCAGTGCTAAGCAGAGCGCCTCCCCCCCCCCCGGGGGGGGCATCCCGCGAGGTTTTCGCTTTGGGTTTCCCTGGGCTAGAGGTCTTGTGGTTACTCTAGGTCAGCGGTTCTCAGAGGGTGGTTCGGGAACGGGAACAAAATACTCATCAGAGAAAATACACTTCACTAGTAATAAGAAATGGGAAGTGACTTTAAAATTAATCGATTACATTGGTTCTCAGATTGTGGTCTGCCAGGTCTTGGGACGTCTCTAAGATCCTTTCGAGGGGTCTCCTAAGTCAAAACTATTTCCAGGGTAGTAAGACACGATTTACCTTTCTCACTTTCGTTGTCTCATGACTGTACAATGGACATTTCCGGAGGCTATTTGACGTGAAAGATGTCATCACTCTAACAGAGTGCCTGCATGGGTCTTCTTGTGTGTTCCAGTGTTTTCTATGGTAGTAGGTTTAAGTATCCATATGTGCATTTTTATAGAGATTAATAAAGTTTATTTGTTCTCAGTACTTCTGTAATTTAGCTGTCCTTGATGGTACCTGCCAGGGTAGCTATAACCTCATTATTAAAACACACACACACACACACACACACACACACACACACAGAAAACAAACAGTTATCTTGAAATCTTGAAATTTTCTTTGAGTTTATGCAGAAACACAACAAAAAAAATACACTTTGTTGTCTTGATTTGGAATAATATTTTGATAATATCTAGTTTTAATATGTAATATGATAAGTATCACTACATATAATTCACATAAGTAAAGGCTGTTTAGAGCCCTTGTTAGAGTTAGAGTGTAAAGCGTCCAGAGACCCAATCGTTTGAGAATTGCTGCCTCAAATAATGAAGGCAACAGGTGGTAACATTCTGTGCCAGGTAACATTCACATCCTTCATTGTTCAAATAACATGCTTAACAGTTTTTGAAACATTATTTAAGATTCTAAGGGACACCTGGATGGCTCAGTCGGTTAAGCCTGGCTCAAGTCATGATCTCACAGTTCATGACTTCAGCCCCACATTGGTCTCTGTGCTGACAGTTTGGAGCCTGGAGCCTGCTTCTGATTCTGTGTCTCCCTCTCTCTTTGTCTCTTCCTTGCTTGCACTCTCTCTCTCCCTCAAAAATAAAATACATATTAAAAACATATTCTGTGCTTTGACCAAAGTGGCTTGGCACTTACTGGAAATCAGAGGAAACATTTTTTTCCCTTTTCTAGTTTTTTATTAGTTCAGTGTACACCCAATTCTTTTTTTCTGCCCACAAAGGCTACTGCCTATTGTATTCTAATTATTTAGAATTAACTGAATTCTTCCTAAGTTTTCTGCAGAAATTTTGTCTTCATTGATTCCTTGAGGATAGTGCTCTTTCTTTACCCCTTTCCCTATCTTTTCCTCCTCAGTTTCCATTTGTCCACCTGGTTTTCTAACATATTTCTGGGAAAGATCCTTCCTCTCTCCTTCAATCCTTTTATTGTTTTCAAGCAACTAAGATCAGATGGAGAAGAGACTAGAAATAATTTCTTGTGGTTGGTATCTTAGAACAGGAAACATCTTTATTAAAACACCCATTCTTCTGCTTATTTATTCATTTAGCCAAACTACATCGCTAAACCCTGAGGATACAAAGATAAACATCACAGTCTCTGTTTTGGAGGAGAATTTAATCTAAGATCTATATCTAAGAATGTGGTCCTGTAAAGGTCCCGTAAGGGCAGGAACTGACTTATTCACTTTTACGTCCTCCATCGTACCCAGCAGAGTGCCTTTTATGTTGTTCATGCTCAGTACATTATTTTTTGGATGGAAGCAATTTATTTTCATATAGGAAAAGTGCTTCACACTATAGAGGGAGAGGCAAATGGTCAGATGCCTCATGCTGTGGAATAAGCAGATGTGAACTTTGGTGACATTCCTTGGTAGAATGCATCCACCCACATATCTGGATATTTGGACCAAAACAAATGAGGCTTTGTGCTTTCCTCAAATATCAAAGTTTATAGTCTGAGAGGGGAGTCAGATACAGAAATGAAAGTGTTTCTTAGTGGTGAATTACGTCCCTGCGTGTTTCCCTGTAATATTGGATCCGAAAGAATTTTATAGTATTTGGCAGTATGCACACAAACTTCAACCATTATAGAATCACAAGATATTTGGGGATTAGATAAAAAAGAAAAAAAAGAGAATAACCAGTAACAACTGCCAATTGTCCACAACTGCCAATTTCTTCTGTTACTTACTTGCTGTGTTAATTTTCTTATTTTGCACCATTTGATTTTTAAAGTCACAATATTCCTATGCTTTTCTTCCAAAGAATTTTAAGTGCTCTTCTTCTGGCCATCTATGGAATTGGGTCAGATATCATGATTCTCATTTTGTAAAGAGGGTACTGAAGCATGAAGAAGCAAAGGGTCTTGAATAGTCATTGGCAAAGTAGTAGTTTGGCTCTCAACTCTTCCTAGTGTTGTTGTTTTTTAAGTTTATTTACTTATTTTTGAGAGAGAGGGAGAAAGAGAAGCCCAAGCAGAGCCCGATGTGGAACTGGAACCCACAAACTGTGAGATCGCAACCTGAGTCGAAATCAAGAGTTGGACGCTTAACCAATTGAGCCGCCCAGGTCCCCCTTCCCAGTGCTTTTCTGAGTTATTAACAAACAATGGAGGGCAGTATGGAAAGCATTATTTGATTTCAAAAGAAATAGGAAAAAAAGAGCAATGAGATGAATGGACTTGGATTAATGTGATAATGCATCTCTGAATTTAAGCATGTACCCACCCACTTACCTGTGTGAACTCAAGAATGAAATGGTAACTTGTTTTACTGTGTGGGCATGAGGATTGACTCAGGGACTGTGACAGGAAATGTTAAGGTTGCAGCCATGAAGCTTCGCAATGTAAGGTCACATCCACGTTCTTAAAGACACACTGATGACTGTGTCATTATCCTACTCAGAACAGGGATACAACTTTACTGAACTTATGTTTCTGTGACATTTTAGCCTTGACATTTCAACAGCAATTGTTTGCTGTTTTAATTTATCCCAGTAAAATCAGTAGGTGGAAAATGAAAGACTCCTCCTGTTCAAGGTTGGTTATATATCCGAGTGCAGGTATGTTCAGATTCAACAAATAGGCAAAGGGACTAAAGATTTAATTTTAAGTGTATATGTAAAGCCCTCTAAAGGAACTTTTGACTACAGCTCATTTTTAATCCTATCATTCAAGAACAATGATTAATAACAAAATTAAATATAATCAAAAACTGTGAAAGGTAATCTGGTTTCATGGTCATCTGGTTCTGTGTCATACTGTGAGTAGTAATAAGAGCTATATGCCACGCTGTAAAAAAAAAAAAAAAAAAAAAAGGTAATCCATTTAGTCTTATAGGGCACATAGGAACTTGAATCAACATGCTTTCAAACTGCCCTCAGGGCCTGTGACAGGGACTTATGTCACAGTTGGTCACAAAACTCTCACTCTTTGTTCAGACTTCAGCATTTTTTACAATTATAATTCTTTCAGACTTAGTTTATCATCATAATCTTACTTTCTGATTAACACAGTTTTTTTTCTGCTTTTTTTTGTAAACTCGTTCAGATAATCATGATGTTCTAAGTAAAAACAGATTGTTTCATGTACAAGGTCATGTGATATCGATTGCAAAACCACACATGCACATGTGTGAAAAGGGAGTTCAAACAAATCATGCATTTTTAGTTATACAACTGATGATGTTTTAGTGTCTTTCATTTATTCTGCCTCAAAGAAGGATCACTAACTCTGTACTGATGTTATTGGTACTGATTGAAGACCCATTTTTCAGAGGAACTCCTAGGAAACCTAAAAACCCAGGATCCTGTTTATCCTTCTTTGGTGAAGGATTCTCCTTTGTTATTTTCTCTACAATCCTGGCTTGAAGGTCTCAAATGACAGTTCTCAGTGACTGAGTTTGGACATACAAAATGGGGATTTTAAAGTATTATTCCTTTTACTGATGTACACTAATGGCTTTAGTAAAACTTCTGGCTCTCCCTTATCTACTCTGAACACTGCCACTCTAACAGTCCTTTAGAGTGAGGAACAAAATTCATTAATCTCCGTTCCTCACCTAATGCATAGCAGGCTTTCCTGACTGCTCAGTGAATGAAACAATGAATAAAATTACTTCTCTCTCGATAGATCACTTTGAACAAATCACTTCTCTAAACTCTCTCTGCCTCTTCTGAGACATTGAGGGTTTGGCCTAAAGGAACTCTAAGATTTCTTCCTATGCTAAAATTCTATGGTTTTTTTGAACACCTTTGATAATAGAAGGGTAAAGAAGGCTATATTTAATTGATTTTCTAATTATTTTTTCCTGTTCTAGGTAGTTTTGGATTACTTGCTTTTTTATAATTTATGTGACTTAAAAGGAAAGTAATCGTATGAAACTATAACTTAAAATTTGCTGTATGCACAAACTACATATTTTATCATTTGCTCACTTAACAACTATACAAAATAGGAATTAATAAAATTTTCTATGTGGCAAGATATACTGAAATATTGTTAGATTTTACTTTTTTTTTTTTTTTTTAATGTTTTTTTTTTTTTTTTTTTTTTTTTTGGAGGGAGAGAGAGAGAGACAGACAGCGTGAGCAGGGGAGGGTCAGAGAGAGAGGGAGTCCCAGACCGAAACAGGCTCCAGGCTCTGAGCTGGCAGTCAGCACAGAGCCCGACGCGGGGCTCGAACCCACGAACCGCGAGATCATGACCTAAGCGAAAGTCGGACGCTTAACCGACTACGCCACCCAGGCGCCCCTGTTAGATTTTACTTTTATTGGTTTCTCTTACTCTGATAACTTGATTTATACTTTTCAGTTTTTGTTGTCAGATAACATTGCAGCTAAATCTTTTTTCTATTATCAGGACTTCTGTTTTATTTTTTTCCAACTTTACTTTCTTTTTCTCAGATTTGTATTGAATTTACGTATATATTATATATATATTATATTTCCTTTTTAAAAATTTTTTTCTTTTTTAAAAAATTTTTAAAATGTTTTATTTATTTCTGATAGAGAGAGAGAGAGAGACAGCATGAGCGGGGGAGGGTCAGAGAGAGAGGGAGACACAGAATCTGAAGCAGGCTC